ACATGGTCAATAATCTATTCTCCGTTATTACTGGAAAAGTATGGTTTTGTTTTTACAGAAGAGAACAGCATCATCTTACACCCATCACCACTTCTATGCCTAAGCATTTATAATCTTATGTGCCAAAAAAACTGAACTACATTTGTTTATTTAATTTGGATGTTTTTTCTGCATTAAAAAAGACCAGATTTAGCAGGTTTTCATCTTTTATTTGTTATGTTGATGTTGCCATATAAACCAAGAAAGAATTATTATTGGTTGAGTAAAAAATGTTCACCTTGTCTTAGTACACTTACAGAGTAACATCTGCACTTGCTGTGAATGGACTTTAACATCTAATTGGCTTAAATTTTAATTTCTGTAGATCACAAGAACTTAACTTGTTTTATTCTAAATAATAACTGAATAAACCATTTTAGTTTTACTGGTATTTTGATAGTGAACTTATCAGCCTACTGTAGCGAAATTTATCAAAAACCACAAAGGTAAATTTAACAAATCTGCGAAATGAACTCTAGAAATATTACTTACTATTTTCTATAGACATTGCCTCGAATTGACCGAATTATGCCCCAACTAAGAGTAGGGCATAAAAAGCTTGTTATAACATAACCTTTACACCCAAACAACCCTTTATTCCAACAGGTGGGGAATAGAAAGTAGTTTTTAACTAATGTCAGGTATGCTTAATAACACCCTTCTGATCAAACTCAAACTAACCCATACATGAGAGCTACTCATCATCATCTTGCTGCCAGGTTAGATTATTTTATCGTACATTGCAAGATATAGTTGCATGTTTCCCTGGGTGAATTAAATCTGTCACTTTAATTAATACCACACATTCTGACAGTGTGTTGACATAGCCAGGTTTCCTAATTAATGCTTTAATGATCTTTTATTAGCACAGTAGCTTTACAATATCTACACGCAATTATAATCGCATTAATCTCCTCAGCAACCTTCTGTCTCTGTATATATGGTGATATTAAAGTCAATATGTATAAAACATTTCTAATTATAAGAAAAAGTTGGGAGAAGTTTTTCTTTTTTCATCCTCTTGGTAAATTGAAGCTGGGGTTGAGTTATTGTCACCATCAGTGTCATATGAACATTTGATGAGTTGGTAGACTGAGACGAGTCACCTGCATAGAAATGCCATCAGGGTAGTACAGCTTCTTCATTGTGTCTGGCCATCACAATGGTTCTGGTGTGTGTGGTCTAGTCTCTCTAGCCTGGCATATGGCCTGTGACCCCGGAGCCCCTCTGTCTGTGTCATTATGATACCGATAGCGCGGCTGTGAATAGAGGCAGTCAGGACAACACATAAAGGCCACGGCGTCTGTCTTTCAGCGCAGACTGATTACTGGACTGCGTTCGTGCTCATACATGCATGTTTAGACAGGATATAATGAGGTGCCCTTGTATTATTGATGCTCTCTGCTCCTGCTGCCTACCTGCTGTTAGGTGGGCTGGCAGATGCTTGGTTTGGTCTGCTCGGTGGGCTATCCTTCTGAGTGAGGAAAAGATCATTCAGCATTTCATATGAAAAGATCTTACACTTTTTTTCAGAAAACAGAATATTGTATGGAGCCACTGCTTTATTGTGATCATGATTACTTGTGTTTTACATCTTTGGTTACAGTTTTCTTTTGCAGAATTAAGCAAATACTATTAATTATGTAGGAAAGAACTCCCTTTGACTGGCAAAGAACAGAACATTAAACATTTAGCTGTGGAATGTTAGACTTAGACAGACTTTGTCATTTTGTACACATAGAGAGTATATAAAAAGAAATTTCGTTCAGTACAGCTCTCAAGACACTTTCATTTTTTAAAGTGAGGCTGTGATAAAGGTAAGCAGTAATGATGATGTAAACGTACGACTGTATATTGGTTAGAGTTACAACATTGAGGTTGTTTTTTTTTTTTTGTCTTTAAATTAAAAAACCTTAATGAATGGAGGAAACAATTGCAAAACCTCTTATCTCAATCATAAAGTAAGCTGGCTGTGGTTTGATCCTAGTCTTTCTACAGTATTTCATCCCCTCTGCTCACTTTGTCCTGTTATTTGAGAACCCTAATGAGGAAGAAAGACCTAGAAAGAGGCACTTTCATCCTTTGAATGATAGGATGCAGCTGTGGCCCTTTTCTCTATTGAGCCCCCCAACATCTTGCATAGTAGAGAGGAGCACCAAAGGAGACAGTATCCACACCTTTCCATTTTACTCTGCAGACCTTAGACTTTCAAGACAAAACAGTCCAGTAAATCTACCGAAATGCACTGTAGTCAATGGGGGGGGGGGGGGGGGGGGGGTGTAATAAGCTGAGAACAGGGAGTTGGTGAATCACTTTAGCCTCTTTCCCACTGATATGAGGATTGAAGCAGGTTTTTCTAGCACGGGTTAACCTGCTAACAATCGGCATTTGGCTCCCTTCCCATTGTCAAAAAAGCAAACCCACGCTTGCAAGCTTCGTAGCCCCTCTTCCCACGCCGCTACATGTCTGGTGACACCATCCCGCTGGGTTAGCATTGATGTCAGGAATCAGGAAGGTAATGGAGAGAAACATGGAAGGATGTCAGGGCGTAGTCGGTGTGCTTTATTGTTCAACTCTCGTCTGTCTGAATCTCACCAGTGCTGTGCCATGTTTATCGAATGTAATCGAGTTTTTTTTTGGCTTGTTAGATCAGACACAAATGGCTCAGTGTTGTGACGTACATTTTTTGCTCTCAGTTGATCTAATGTAAATTGTTACAACTTACCCCTTTCCCACTGGTCGAAAAACCTGCTGAAACCCACAACCAATCAGCTTTTAGTGGCAGTGGTAGCAGCTCACTAACTCGTGTTGACCTATGTCAAACGACTCAGCAAGCCTCTCGGGTTAAAATCTCATTCAAACAGATAGGCTCCTATCGGCATACAGTGGGAACATATAACCGAGTCAACCCTCTAATTTACGTGATAACACTGAGCACAAAGTATGGGTGTTACAACATTGCACCAGTCTTGGCTGATTGAACAAGCCAAAACGACTCTGCTTACATTCGATAAACATGGCACAGCACCGGTGAGTGGTATTCGGAGGGACAAGAGAACAAAACAATAAAGCACACTGACTATGCACTGACTTCCATCTGTGTTGCTTTCATTCTTTACTTTCCTGATTTCTGTCGCACTGGTGACATCATCAATTGGGGGGACAGAGGCCAAGCAGCCTGCCAGCGAGGGGTTAGACCCAACTTTTTATGAAAATGGGGAATGGAACCAAAATTCTGATTGTAAGCAGGTCGACATGTGTTTGAAAAATCCACTCTAACCTGCTAATTTCAATGAAAAAGAGGGTTCTGTATTCGGATCGGAACCAAGCCGTAATAAGGTGATTTAAACCCAGGCCACTTGCCGAGTTCTCTGATCTACTTGGGTCAGTGAGCTGCTCCCACAGCCACTAAAAGCTGATTGTGAGTGAGAAATTGCTATTTGTGGCATAGTTTGGAAACAATCATATGATTCTGAATGTGAACAAAACAAGTAAATGATTAAGTTCAATGCAATTACCATCATGTGTATAGAAGTTGAGATGGTGGACGAATACCTCGTTGTTAACCTAAAAACCAGACTGGACTAGAGATACAACTAAGTATCCGTCAACAAGAACTGACAGAGCAGACTGTCCTTCGGCAGGAATCCTGCGAACACCTCCAGTGTTTGCAGCAAGATGCTGGATATCTTCTGTAAGTGTGCTATGGAGATTGAGATCTCTTCTGCCATCATCTGATTCTGATCTGTTTGGGTTACAGCACTTGTAGCACTTAATGTTCTGGGAACTCCTCTAGAACCTCTGAAGAAGATTTTACAAATCAGAATTCTTCATAAAATGGTGAACATCATGAAGAACCCTGAGCATGCTCTTCAGAAAACCCCTAAAGTTAGGGCATTTAATTCCCTTTAGGGATCAATTTTGTTCCTGAGTTCTTTGTGACATTGTTACAGATGCCTTTTTTTCATTTCAACTGCATCCTGTAAAACTCGCAATGTGCCCAAGTATCTAAGCAACCAGACGTTGTGTGCTTTTCAAAGTGGGAAGCAACTGCAGACCAAACTTTGTACACGGTTGTTTTACATCCAGTAAAACAACACGAATGTCCCTCATAATCTAATTCTTCAGTCTCTAGTGATTTAAACTCTTCAGAAATGCTTTGATGAACCATCTTGTGCTTCATTTAACATTGATGTACACCAGTTTGCTCTGACCAGATCATTTGATCCGTCCATCAGCAGGAATCTTGCATCCTTTGCTTCTGATCTTACATAAAATGGATAAATATACGAAAGAAAATGGCAACCTCTTTTAATTAAATTAGCGACTTGGCTGAGAGTTTTCTTGAAAGTAAAAAAATAGCCATCTCTAGTGTTGACACAATGATAGAAAAATAGAAAAGGCAACATATGTTATGAAGCTGATTACAGAAGCTACTTCTAATTGTACCTTTGACTTTTTTACACATTTCAAAACAACTGAATCTGTTGTGCTGATGATTCAGTGGAGAGAGATTAATGTCAATCAAAAAGAAACCCTGGTATGAATCATCTTTCACTGTCTCTAAGCAAAAAATGTTATTTTTGTTACCTTGAAAAAGTTCTGTTAACTTCAACATTTTTACCAATGTAGAGTTCATCGCCATGTCAACCAGCTTCAAGCGATGCCGTCTTTTTTTTCTTTTCTTTTTTCCTTACACTACATTAGTTAAGGGTCAAAACATGGGTGGAATGAAGAATTAAGATCTTTCTTCCTCATGACAAAACAGAGCAGCAACCACTTTAATGCAGATATTTCCAGAAAATGCACAGCACTCTAATAAGAGTAAAAATGAGGGTGGTTGGATTTAATGTTCCTGCTGTTGTTGGGCTGCCACAGTGTCCGGCATCTGACAAAAGTTTGGACACTTGAAGTTACATGCGATTTCATAAATTTTCTTTCTGTTTTGTTTGTGTGAACAGAAGTTTCCGGAGCTGAAGTTTAAGTACGTGGAGGAAGACCAGCCGGAGGACTTCTTCATCCCCTACGTTTGGTCGCTGGTCTTCAATTCGGGAGTCGGCCTCTATTGGAACCCGCATGGCATCGAACTGTTCAGTATGGACTCTGGCTGAACAATAAAAAACCAAAACATTGAGTCTTCATCTCCGTTCAGGACAGATGAAAGGACTGATGGTGTGGGTGTGTGTGTGTTTTACCATCTGTAGTACATGCTCGCTGCTTTCAAAGTGCCTCAACCTTGAACATGACAGAGTTCCATTTATGCAGCACAACCTTTTATTGTAATAACAGTTTTTTTCTTCAACACTGAAGCCTCGTCAGCGCTGGGTAACGGCGCGCTCTGCAGCTTCCAGATGTTTCCCCGTATCTTTCTGTGAGAAACGCACATACCCATTTCTGTTTGGCTAAGAAGCTCAGGTCTCTGAGAATGGATGATCACTTTTCAGAGAACAGGTCATTGAAAAACAAGATAAGACGGTACCTACATGTTACACAGCTCCAATGTACAATTTAGGTCCTTAACTGCATCGTAATAAACGTAGTTTTTAATATTGAGGTAATAAATTTAGGTTTTCTTTGGTTCCCTCATGAGAATAGCAGTGATTTATAACAGCTTTGTCAGTGAAGTTGCCGTTAGGTTCAAAAACAGCCAGAGAAATGTGATTGTTAACTTTTAGGGAAAATATGCAGTGTCCCTTGCCGTTTAATATTCCTTATTCATGTACAGTTTAATTAGAGCTCAGTACCCGTCCCTAGACGATATTCGCCTCCTGCATCACTGTGATTCATGCGATTCCATCGTTGCTTCCAGCCTGTATTCACTCAGCATTTATCATTTGTATCTTTCTGGATAGTCACCCACAGCAAGTACTTAAACTAGGACAGACAGCTCATTTCCTGTCCTGTTGTGCATAGCTGCAAATCTCTTAAATTTGTTACTTTCTCTGCATGTTTAACTTGAGATTAAGTTATTTATTTTCATGTATATTGTTTTTCTTATATGAATATGTAAAGAGGCATATTATGGAGGTCTAAATATAAATGATGGAAGAAGCAAATGGTGTTTTGCTGATGAGGTGAAAGGAGACATGATTGTTTCCAAGTGGGAAATTTTCCTCGTATTATTGCGACCTCAGCTTTCATTTTGGGAATTTACTTTAAAAATAGGAGTTTCAATAAAATGGTTAAATCGGCTTGTTTCCGTCACATTATTATTAAAAAATGCTTTAACAAAGATGTTAAAGCATTTCATAAGCAAGTCGTTTATTTTTTATTTGTCCCATTTCTCTTTATCTTTCTGATTTCTTTAAATGTTGCTGTTTTTCTCAGAAATTTTTAAGGTCATTAAACCAATCCTAAGATAATCTGAGTGAAATCAAGAAGCTCTTTTCCTAAAAATGTCATTAATTGAAAGAAACCAAGAGAGCTTTATTTGAAAGACTAATTGCCACACTGACTGAGAAACCATTAGAACCAGTCTGAAATCATGAAGTAGGCTAAATTAAATTAAAGAAAAGTTTATAAAATCCTCCACTGGTGATATTAAAAGTTTATTTCCAACACTTGATGGCAGCAGTTGCTGCCAAGGTCAGCAAAACCACTTAGGGTTTTTTTAAGTGGAAAAAAACAGTAAAACTGATTTATCTGTATTTCTAATTCTTCTGCCGCACAAATAATGTGGCATCATTGCTGCATAGGTAGCGTAATATCAGAAGAAGACACAAGGTTTGGATTGAAAATGTTTGCCACGCGATGACACCAACTGTACTTCTGCAGCTCCAACTTCCCAGGAGTATTACACACCATTTGGCTCTACTGTAAATGGTTATCATGACTGAAATTTCTCCGCTATCAAGGACAGTTTAATGGAAGCAATCAGATGTAAAGAATGGCTTACAGTAGTTTTAGCACAGGCCAGGCTGTAGGTTACAGTGACATTGGAAGCTGAAGGAGACTAAAGCGTCTCCTTTCTGTGCTCCTTCTCTCACCTGCTTTATTAATGTAGCAGCAGATGGCTGAATGGAGCTTTCCACAAAGTGACATGGCTCTCCTCTTTTCTATATGGAGCAAGGGGGCATTGAGAAGATGGATGAAGCATGGGATTATGGGATGGCTTGTGTGTTTTCTCCATGTCTGTACTTTGTCCTGAACTGTTTTACCAAAGCAGGACGACTCCAGAGCGAGAGGTCATACCCAGATCAGTTTTCTGCAGAGAATTATTAAAAGTGGGACACTCTGGAGTCTGGTTTTTCTAAAGTGCTGCTTACCCCCTGTGACTCAAAGCTCATTAACTCTACTGATTGCCTCTGCAACAGTGGGAGGTCGGTAAGTTCACCCGTTTTAGGATAAGGTCAGACCAGGAGTCAACCTCGATCATAACATGGAAAAAGATCTTAAATGTGTTAGGAAATGGGTACATAACCGCCCACAGTACTGCACATCTGACCTGGAATGATAACAGACTACGTAGGTTGGACATTTAACTAAAAGAATTTAAAAAAGAAAGATATAAAGACGAGACGGACACACTGACATGATCTTGATGTCTGCAAGATACCAAAGAACTGGTGACAATAAATGGAATGACAACCTCTGGTTACTCTCCATACCCCTCACTGAAACCAGCCTTTAGATAATAATAATAAAAAAGCCACTAATATTATGTACAGTACATATGAACATACATGGAGTTATAAGCCAGGCTTGCAACTAATTAAAATACAATCCAGACCCACTTAAGAATTTAAAGCATTATTCGTCCTTCTACTTCTAAATTCTTCACCATGTCTTGTGACATTTAGCTGTACAGTTGGTGTGGTTACATAAAAACAGCAGTGATAAAGAAATGCTGATCAATCCTTGTTCCTTCGATGGGTTGGCCAAGCTCCATCTTATATCAGAGATCTGATTGTTCCTTATGTCCCTAACAGAGCACTTCGCTCTCAACCTGCATATTTACTAGTGGTTCATAGAATTTAGGCTCCTCTCCTGTGGAACCAACTACCAGTTTTAGTCCATGAGGCAGACACCCTGTCTACTTTTAAGGGTGGGCTTAAAACATTCCTTTTTGATAAAGCTTACGTTTAGAGTGGCTCAGGTTATCCTGAGACATCTCTATAGTAATGCAACTATAGGCTTAGACTGTTGGAAGACATGGGGACCCTTTTCATCATCCTGCTTCATTCTATCTATTCTCCCATTCTGCTGAACATGTTAATTCAATCTCTAACTTTATGCTCTCTCTGCTTTTTCTCGCAGTAGCTTAATCTGGTCTATTCCTGTTTGGCTGTGACACCATCCTTGGATGTATTTTGTATTTCTACTTCTTTCTTTACGTCTGCTTCGGTCTCCTTGAACCCCAGTCGGCCTCGGCTGATGGCTGCACACACTGAGTCTGGTTCTACTGGAGGTTTCTTGCTGTTGGAAGGGAGTTTTTCCTCTCCACTGTCTTTACAAGCATGCTTGGTGTGAGGGATTGCCTTTGAGTCAACGAGTCGATGCAATCAACTGGTTTTCCTTAGATAAAAAACTTTTAATCAATTTGGCTGCATGATCTGGTTGAATTGTAAAGTGCCTTGAGATGACGTGTTGTGATTTGATGCTTTATAAAAAAAAAATGAATTGAATTGTTGGATCTAGAATTGATGTCACAACCAACAATGGATTTGCTAGCCAATGTGTTTGTCAACCAAGTTGAACACAAAAAGCAAAATACATCCATAAAATCCTCTTTGTCTACCATGCAAATTAAACTTACTGGCAAAAAGAAAAAGCATTTGATTGCACCTTCTGTTTGCATTTCTTTAAATTAACCACACACAGTGATATGCAACCTAAGATATTGAGTTTTCAAATGCTGAGAAGTACGTGCTTATTAGCCTGTTAGCTTGCACTTGTCTGGAGCAAAACAATCATAAAAGCACCTAGCAGTGAAAGTAAGGGCGTTATATTCTGATTCGTACAAAATACAATATCATAACAGAAAAATTTGTATGTGTTTAAGAAAAGTGTAAATCAGCCTTTTGTGTCTAATTTTGTAAAAAGAAAAATAAAAGCTAAAAAAATTAAATGTGTACAATAGTTGTCCAATATTTTTCTGTCACTGTGTTTCTGCTATGTGTTTTTTTGATCATAGGTTTTCGTACTGCCAATTTTGAACATTGCAGGTTTTTGTTTTTCGTTTCTCTTGTATTCATTGCTCCCAATGACATTCAAATTCTAGACAAAAGGTTCTCCTTTTTCTCATAAGTGTAGATTCCCCACTGGAGTTGTTGACAAATGGCAGACACGTTTCTTATTTTTCCTACACAATGAAAAGAGACACATCAGCTTCTTGCCTTTAACCCCAGGATTTTTCTTTTCTTTTTTTAATTATGTCTTGACATTTACCAGTGTGGGCGTTTTCTCGCTCTTTCTTTACAAGTTATCAGATGTGGAAATGGTGAAAAAAAAAACCCTCTTCTATCTTTTTAATTAAAGTTGTCTTATTTTCATCATTCTTATCTTAGTAGAAAGCGATCCCCTATAGTATATCCTATTTTGAGAGCAGGAATTTGTGCAGTAAAACCAGATAGAACATGCATGACCCTGAAGCAGTGCCTGTACTAGTATATTTTTTGCAAAGGCCAGGACTCCTATCTAGAATACTAATTGTCTCCTTCCCCTTGTAATTGTGTTTTACTCCACCCCACGTCCTCTTTAGAACCACCTCTGAAAGGCAATTTGATAGATTTAAAAAGCCTAACCAAGCATTCTGAATATGTGTAGTTTTTCTTTTTAAGACTTGGATCAAAGTAAATGTGTAATGAAGACAAAATGATGTCTGCTGCAGCTTTATTACTCACAAAGACAGAAAAGAGTAAAAAATTCTTAGGATAGCAGGTCATTTATCACAAATAACCTATATTTATTCCTTCATTCTAGATTTCGATAAAAGAACTTAGTTTTAGAAAGATGTGTGTCAGATTAATAGCATTACATTTGTATGGTTTTTGCATCATGGTTTTCCCTTTAAAATTGTTTTTCCCTTTAATGTTAGTTTAATGTTATTCTTTTGTCCATGAATGTGAGTTGATTTGTATGTTTTTGTGTTTTGTTTTAAATAATTTTTTATTCATTTTCATGTTTTACTAGAAACATTTCTGTTTATATTTGTTTCCAGAGTCTGATTGACAATCCTGCTTATTTTTTTTTTTGCAAGCTGAGCAGCAGAAGGATTTTTACTAAGTGTCAAGTAATCCAAATGAGACTTAAATAATGCAAACAGGCCTAAATATATAGATAACCCTCTACTAATATTTGGTTAAGTTTCTTACAAGTTGAAGAGGAAACTATGTGTTTGCGGGCGACTTGTAAAGCTTTGGTTTCAATATTTTTACCACTGTCTTTGCAGAATTGGTTTGATGTTAAAGCATGCTGAATAAACTTTAAGCGGCTGATTTTGGGGCCATTCCACTATCTTAAAGGTAAAGTCGAGGATGTTCTTTTTCTGGGTGGATCATCAAAATAAGTGGTCCTCCTAATTGTCAATCATTCTGGTGATATGTTTACGTGAGGCCATCCTATACGTGCTCGTCCCCATTTTCTCTTCCGGTGGTGAGTTTGACATAGTGGAAAAATTGCAAATCTTCTTTTGGAAAGTAAGCTTGTATGAGCGATGCAAACATCAACTTTTAGACAGAGCGTACACGAGGAAAAATTGACTTGTGCATGTTCTTACATGTGTTTAACAGACGTTCCCTCTTGGGAGCGGGTACAGGGTTGTGCATGTGCATTTTTTTTTTTTTAAGTGGAGAAGGCGGGTTTTTTCAAAAATTTGCGAAAATCCTCTAATATACCTTCCATGTTAACCGTTCTTGATGTGCTGCGTAGGACTGGTGTTTTCTCTTGCACACCCAATAGTGTCAAAGAGACATCTTAAATCAACCAAAGGTAGACATTTTATTGTTATCATTCCATCCAATACATCAGTACCACTAGCAGCAGCCCCGCATCATGAGGCTGCCTCTTCAACTCTTCTAATCATGCATCTCACCATTCTTCCCAAACAGCAGATGTTTTGTCCTGGTAAACTACTCTCAGGAAGACACTGAGCATGTTTGCGCATGGAGCTGCAATTTCCAGGTGAGCTTGGCAGAGTTGTAAGCAGAAGCTACTCTCTTGGCGAACACCTGTTCAGTTCATGTTTGCATAAACCCAGACTTAATATGGACAGAGCAATCTGTGCTAAAGAATCTTTCAGTTTAATTAATCGATTATCTGGTTGTTCATGGCTGCTAAAGAACATGTGGTTGGGCTGTAGCTGCTTGCAAATATAAATATCCCTGAAGCTGTAACTTGTGTTGTATTTTCACCATCACTGGTCTAAAATGAATATGGCCTTTGACCCCACCACCATGCAAAGTTAATGGACAGGATGTGGGTGCAGGCTGTAAGTGATGATTTTGTTTTCAAGTAACTTTAAAGAAAACATGCAGCAAAACTAGCGTGCTAATATATAGCATGTAATAGAAAACAGCCCCTGCTTCTCTCTGTGGGCGAGACTGGAGACAGACCCCTGAGCAGAGCTGAGATGGAAAAGGGTTAGATAAAACTGGCTACTTCCTGGAGTCTGGAAAACGGCCCCATGCACACACAAAGGGAAGGGAAAGAGGAGATGTGAGAGAAGGGGAGGGGACAATATACGACTGTGGCAGCCAGTCGCTTCCACAAGTCCCTCTGACAGACCTTCTTCCCCCTGACTGATTGTTTCCAGACTCCTGTTAAAAATGCTGCCCTGTCCCCCCTCCTCCTGCTCGGCGCCATTGGGATGGTCCCCCCACCTCAGAGAAAAAAAAAAAGTCAGCTCATCCTGACCACCATAATCATCAAACACCCCCTTCCAAAAAAAAGGCCTCCAGCGACTCACATTAACATACTGGAGAGTTCACCTCCTCCTCCTCTCAGGGTCTGCTGTGTTGCGGGACCTCACTGAGCTTCAGAGGACACATCCACGGACTGGAGACAAATGTTATTTTAGGCTATCCTGGATTCCACCTCATACATCTTAGTAAGATTCAAAGCACAGCAAAGGTTTTAATGTGCAGCTGATCTGGGACAGCTTCCTCTTCTGTGTTTTTCAAACTCTTTTGTCCATTTCTTTTACCATAAAATGTTTTTTTTTATTTGAATAAAAGCTGACCAGAAATCCTGGCCACAATTTTAGGGAAAGTTGACTTTTCTTTGAATTGTTCACTGTTTGTCAAGTGACAATCAACATCTTCATGGTGTATTTCTGGAAATAGGTTGGATTAACCCCAAATAATGCCTAATTCTGCAGTAAATAGATATTTTATCTTTGCCTCCGTACCCTGTAATAAATCCATGCAGTTCCCCAAATCAGTTGTTCAATAAAGGCCTCAGAGGTTGTCAAGACAAAGGATAGGAGCAGACAGGTCAGGAATGAAGTTGTGCAGGAGCTTAAAGCTGGGTTGAAAACAGTAATTATCATTTTAATAAGGATAAATAATATAGAGCCGCTTCTGAAAGGAACCTTAGAGGCCTACAGCTCATGTGGGAGGATCTGCTGAAAGGACAACACACTAGTGTGTATTGTATGACAAAAGTGGAAAAAGAAAGTTATTACTGAAAGAACATAAGATGTCCAATTTTCAAGTTGTTACTAAGCCATATGAGGGGAAAAACATGTGGAAGAGGGCGGTCTGGTCAGATCTGATTCCAATTTGTGATAATAAAAAAAAAAGAACATCCTCAGTGTGAGAAATAGTGGTGGCAGCATCCATTAAGAGTACCCCAGTTGATATTCAGATCAGCATAGATTAAGTTAGGTTATAAGTTGCTTTTACAAAACTTTGCAAGCCACATTTTTCAAATATTGTTCCCTGAAAATTTCTTTTTTTTTCATTATTATGTCTTCGGTGATGATGTTACTTTGCCCATACATATACAATCCCCTTAAAACACATGGAAATAGGTGATTGTAATTTGGCAAAATGTTTCAAAAAAAAAACAAAACACCAAAAACAAAACAGCTTTAATCCATAAAGGCATTAATCCAGTGTGCAGAGATGCGCATTTGCAGTCTGACAAGTAAAATGTTAAATTCAACATCACATCTGAAAGGTAAATATCCAGAAGGGGGCAGCAGAGATTCGACCGTAACAACATGGTCGTTTCCTGTCCTCAGTTCAGACTGACAGGCGCAAGTACTTTACTTCTGAAAGGCAACCTCATCATTAAAGTTAACCAACTCAATCTACCGGCTTTATATTGAAAACATATACTTACATTCCTCAGAACAATAGCTGATGACTCAGTCTAATTTAACAGCTTCATTTAACAAACTGAAGGATTATTGCTAATAAAATGGGTATAAAGATAATTCCTATAGGGATAATTAGTTAATTTCTTAAATAATTTTGTCCTGTGGAAACATATCCATATCCAACATATTGAGGAGTGTCTGCAATCTTTAACAAGTACTAGACATTGCAAGAATATATATATTTTTTTGCCCCTGTTTTCACTTTTTAAAACTTTTTTTAAAACTTAAAAAAAAATGTCCCTATAACTTATGTCATTGTGTATTTTTTTTTATATATGCGCGTGCTTGTGAACGTGCGTGCCCTGGGCTCTACTTGATCTGTTGTTTGCGCAACACAATCACATTTCTTTTAAGCGACAGGGTGTCTAGACGCACACGTGACCGGGCGCGTCAATGCGCACTGGAGACTGGAGGAAGGGCACCAAACCATCAGCCTCATTTACAGGCACACATACACACAGAAGCTTCTGCTACCCCCATCCACCGACAGTAAGAGGAGCAGCCCTGCAGAGGGACGCTTCATTTCAGCTTCAAACTTCGCGCAAAGGGGGAAGAAGAAAAAATATACAGTAATAAAAACTGTGGATTATATTTGAGTTTTTCTTAAATAGGTTCTCAGAATCGCTGCGCGGACGTGAACCGTGGGGGTCTCTCTCTCTCTCTCTCTCTCTCGTTTCCTGCGTGGCTTTCCAACTCCACTCTGTCGTGGAAAGCTTCAGACGTGGATTTGTTCCCTGGTTCCTCTACGGACAGCAGACACCGTCGGCGGCACTGTGAGCGCTCCGATCAGGCACTTTGTGGATTAATAAAGATCCAGCTCTGATATTCTTGAGGTAATGAGGCCCCAGGATCTCCGGTGTCTACAGCCGCATCCTCTCCATGCTGATAGAGATTTCTGACTGTAGAATAATCTGCACCGAGAGGCTTTTTTTTTTTTTTTTTTTTTTTTTAAGGACCAGATCCGCAGATCGGGGTTACGCACGGCTCGGTTTCTGAGCTGCTAGACTAAAACGCCGGATGAGATGGTGATTTATCCCCGTGGGACGAGCTGACTGTCCCGTGAAACCTCCCCGACTGTTTTCCCCCTCTGATCTGAGTCTGCAGGAGAAGGAGACGGAGACTGGCGCATGCTACAGACTTCCTGCGCTCATCCAGCTCCCAGCTTTTCCATCGTATCCTCTCAGGCTGCTTGTCACTGCCTGGACTCGGATCCCGGAATCTTCATGATTTGCGGACACCATGCTCGTTTTTTAGCCGGGAAACCCTCTTCTTGTCCCGCATGTTTAGGACCAAACGATCGGGGCTCGTCCGGCGACTCTGGAGGAGCCGTGCGCCCGTGGAGGGCGACGGGGAGGCGGACAGAGGGACGCATGGCTCCACGGGGGGCTGCTGCATGGGAAAAGCGGCAAAGGTGGCCAAGTCTAACGACGCCGGGTCGGAGGCTGAACTGAAGGCGCTGACCCACTCGGTGCTGAAGAAGATCAAGGAGAAACAATTGGAGGTGCTCCTGCAGGCGGTGGAGTCAAAGGGGGGCGCGCGGAGCCCCTGCTTGCTCCTACCCAGCAAAGTGGACGCCAAAGTGGGTCAGCAGTCTTACTCTCTCCCCATGCTGCTCTACAAAGTGTTCAGGTGGCCGGACCTCAGGCATTCCTCGGAGCTGAAGAGGCTGTCTTGCTGTGAATCCTACGGGGAAATAAACCCGGACCTAGTTTGCTGCAACCCGCACCACATGAGCAGGCTGTGTGAACTCGGTGAGTTTTAGTAAAACAATAAAAATCCTATTAAGATATGCTTGCTATATGTTGAAGTTAGATTATCTTAAAGTAGATAACATCACCTCCTGCAGGTATTCGTATTTCCCCCCCACTTACCATAAGGTCAAAGTCAACCCAAGTGCGTGCCAAGAGGTCCCTTCTACAGGGGCGACTCTAGAAAATATCAAAAGGGCTGGACACATGGGGGGAGCCCTGATTGTATGAGGGAGGAACACCTCTATTCAAATATGTCAAACAGTTTGCTTAATTTTTAATGTGATTATCATAAACAGTAGAAGATTAAAAATGTTGCTTGGAGTTATCATTTGTTTCTTGTCCTAAGAAAATAGTGGCCCCCAATGGTGGGTCGAAACCCAGATGAATGAAAACCTGTTGTTATACTAGATATAGATGAATAGAAATTACTTAAAAGTCATTGAGCATATTTCTTAGTACCTGTTTTCTGGAATGTGCATTAAAATAATAATAATAATAATAAAGACATATTATAGCCCCGGTGGGGGAATAGATAAGACGCTAATGTCATGGTGCACATTGGGCAAATAGACCAAAGCAGGAGAAACGTTTTCATTATTTAGTCAGATATTAATAAGTGGTTCCAACCCCAGGAACCACTGTTTCTTTTCTCTATTTCACTGTGTATCTTGTAATATCTTAAGTCCTTTGCTTTTAGATTGTTTAGGTTTTGAAATTCTTTAACATCCGATGATTTTTTTGTGCATTTTTTCCAGACTAACAGCCTGGTTTCTCTCTGAAACATTTTATAATTGGCATTTCTAAAGTGCAGGGCGCCTCAGCCAGGACTCTAGTCTTTCCACAGTGAAGTTTCCAGCCCCCCCCCCCCCCCCCCCCTCCTTTCTCTCTCTCTCTCTCTCTCTCTCTCTCTCTCTCTCTCTCTCTCTCTATTCCTCTCTGTATGTGTGTGTGTGTGTGAGTGTGCTTGCTTGGCGTCCCGGGCCAAAAGAGGCCCGTATCTGAGTTTGTCCTAGACGCTGATAGTGGCCCTTCTGGCGCCAGGCGGCCCCCTGTTTATCTGCCTGCCAATGAAAGGCAATAGCCGCCCGGCCGGCCTCACTGCCTGCCTCTCCAGGCGGAGCTGACAGACACAAATCTTTTTTTTCCCCCTCCTGCTGAAGAATGACAACTCTTATCTCAAAGTTTAAATCTCTCTCTGTTTTTTTTTCTCCTCCATAGAGTCTCCTCCTCCTCCATATTCCCGCTATCCCATGGATTATCTTAAACCACCAGGTGAGATTTTTCCACAGTATTAAAATCCATATATATATATATATATATATATATATATATATATATATATATATATGGTATATATTTATATATATATATATATATATATATATATATATATATATATATATATAACACATTCATTTAGTGTCTCAGTTTGCCTCTGTATATGTGTGTGTGTGTGTGTGTGAGGGGAAATGGCTCCAGGTTATGTTGTGATTTATGATAGCAGTGGAGTGGCACGCCTGGCTGGCTGGCCAATTCCAGCATGGCTGGCAGCCAGGGCAAAGCAATACAAAGCTGAGATATCAGCTATACACTGAGTGGCACGTCAGCAGGGGCGGAGGGTATGTCTGAGTGTGGAGTGGTTTGTTTGTGCCCTCATCTATCTGTTGGGAGACACAGTCAGAGCAGCATCTCTGGAGCCAGGCAGCCTTTATCAGATAAAATCATCTACAGGATGGAGACTGCATGTACGCGGCTCTATTATGGGGGTATTATGCAGTAGGAGGTGGTCACTTCGTGTTACTGCGGTTTGATCAGGAGATGTTTGGACGTACTTAGCAAGGGAGCTCAGATGATTCAGTTGAGTAGAAGTTAGTGTTATACAGGGATGGGGAATTATTGTATTGTTTATTGAGAAGAAAACATTATCATGGTTTATCATAACATAAACTGTGTTTTTGCTGTCGGGAGAATTACTATTGGTTCTATTAGGAAAATATCAATATCCAAATATTTAAAATTAGAATTGCTTCCAACTATCTAATGTTATGTATTATAAGACAAGTCTGTTTCCTGGTTGGTATGGGGGTCTGCAATTATAGTTTTACAGCAAAAAAAACACTTCTTTTTTGCTTTTTTAATGTCCCCTTTTATTGCAATATTATGTGGAATCAATTGTGATAACAGGAAAATTAATTGTAAAAAGTAAATGCCAATTTTCCACCATGTTTTTGGTTCAGCGTCTTAAATTACCCTTAACGAAAAACTCACTCTCACAAGTAATTATGCACCCACGTTTCATTACAAAGTGTTAATTTACCTCTGAACAGCACATGATAAATACAACCAATCATATTTTAAAATATATTAATAATCGTTGATGTTGATTAGTTCATTTTGGAGGTTTTATCCACCCACAATATTATTCTATTTATTTATCATGATAAATCACAATCTTTATCTCAGTTAATTTCTCCAGCATGACAATATTAGGAAACAAATTTCTGTTCTGACACTTTCAACCCTGTAACACCAATGTTCCGAATCTTTGGAACACTTGTTGTCCGGTTCCTAGATTGAGGACTTCCTGGACCTTGGAACTGTTCCCTTGCATGGTTATAATTGCACGGTTACAATAGCCAATCTCGTTTGTCCAGGACCCTGGAGAGGTAGAACAAGAGGAAACAACAATTAGCTGTAGCTTTGCAGTTTAATAAATGTCTTGTAGGGTCATGTAGAGTAGTAATGAAATACAGGTAGGCATACACATTTGACTACCAAGAGACAACCATCTCCAGCCGATAAAGTCCATTTTTATATATGTATTATAATTTATATATGTATTTAGATATCCTCACAGTAAACTGAGCATATTGAAAAGAAATATTAGAACATTTGAGTTGAGAAAATGAGCACAAATGGACTTTCACTGTTTTTTAACATTGATATCCATCCCTCCTGCGCTTTCTGACTCATTACTCACCTCAGTGTGTATCAGTGCAGAAAGACCTTAGAGTTAAACAGTGACCAGTCAGCCGACTGGCCGGCTCAGAGGAGAAAGTGGCTTTCAGTGAGTGGAAACAATAGGAAGTCATTGCAGCTGCAGTAATTCAACCCCCCCCCCCCTTCCACTCCTTTCACTCTGTCTTTGTCATCTGTCTCCACGTCACTCTGGTAAATATTATTGCATTTAAAAAGCAGCTCCAGCAGATTAAATACAAGCAGAATTGATCTAAAATGTTGGCAGTGTAGTCTACTTGACACCCAGCTCTCTGCTGATTGGCTGGGACCGGCTGCAGACCTGGCGTCGCGTCTCTGTATTGAGTTCAGCTGGAGACTTTCCAGCGCTGAAAGGAAACGAGAAGGTAAATAGGAAATGCAAGTGGGATACAGACAAAGGAAATGATTATACAACTCATGTTACCACCCTGTTTCCTCTCCTGGAGTGAACAGTCTGAACTTGAATTGTTGAACTCAACAGTAGGCAGCAAGGATAATGAGAGCAGGGAAGTTTCTTATTGATCTTGGTTTTGAAGTTTTGAGACTTCAAACGTGATTTTTTTATTTATTCATATTACTTTTTGCTTTGATATATATATACATATATATACCGGTGTATATATTATTTTATTTTTTTTACTAATGAATTTTCATTTGTATCTCCTTAAGATGTGGTAATTGTACAGTGGAACAGATCAGCTTATTATACAAAGACTGCTTTGGGTAGCTGTCCTGTCAGTTACTCCTCTTCATTACTGGGAGTTAATGGGATTTTCTGCGCCAATATTGCTGTGTTCCCTTTAGATCAGGCTGGGTTAAACTGTCATGCCATTCAGAAAATCAAAATATTCACTTCGAGAACGTGTTTGGATGTAAATATTTACAGGAAGCGGAAGAGCAAGGGATTTTTACGACTCTGCTTTTATGAATCCACTAAGCAGGAAGTGGGGTTTATATGTGTCAGGGTGCCTGTCTTTCTCTGGCAGTGGCGGTCAATATGAAAGGAGCCTGGACATAAAATGCTACCTTGTCTCAGCTCAGGGGAATATAAATCACACACTGTTTGGCTCCCTCACTGTAATGCCCCTCTTCCCAAACCCTGTGGTCAGTGGTGAACTGCAGCCCGAGAGCCCAGGGCAAGGCGTGCTGGCAACCAATGAAAGAAAGGGCCCAGGCCGTGCCTGTGCATCTCGTTAAGGAGACCGCAGCAGCATGGGCCTCATCCGGACGGGCCAACGGACTTCATTGTGAAACCACTCTGGCCACTGCAGTTCTACTTCACTCCAGTGCAGGGGTTCAATCATTTGTATCTTCTGCTAAGGCTACAAATGGTTTCTTTCATGTGATAAATTTGCCTTTAAATTCATTATGCAGGGGTTCAGAGGATGACACGAGAAGAATAACATGTAGCTAAAGGAATGTATAGTGGGTGAAGCAAAATAACACTTTTATTATTCTACATTTTCTGGAACCAAAAACATAATACATAGTTCTTCAACTAGGATTTCATTTTAGTGGTCCCTAGTGTGTTTAGGGATTTTCAGATGGATTCCAGACTCATAGAAAAAGAAAGTTAACAGGTAGCAAGTTGCTGTATTCTCACATCGCCTAAAAATAGTGTTTTATACTTAAACTGCAGATTAATAAAATGTAACTGAAACATCCATCCATTTTCCATCACGCTATCTCCAGCTGTCTATGGGCGAGAGGCAGGGAACACCCTGGACAGGTCTCACACTCACACCTAAGGACAATTTAGAGAATTAACCTAACAGTCCTGTTTTTGGACTGTGGGAGGAAGCCGGAGTACCCAGAGAATACTCACGCATGCTCAGGGAGAACATGCAAACTCCATGCAGAAAGACCCTAGGCCAGGAATCGAACCTGGAACCTTCTTGCTGTACGGCAGCAGTGCTACCCACTGCGTCTCTGAGCAGGTTAAAAGTGAAATTATCTGTCACAGTATTTTTTTCCTACTGTTTGCCCGATTTGATGCCACAGGACCTGGTTAATAAATGTCAAATTTTACCCCGATAAGAAGCATTTGATTCAACAAAATGGCAACTCAGATACTACTTTCTGTCAAAATAGGATATTAGGATATAAGTTGTAAGCTCAAAACATTCACCCTTATATCCACACCTGTAATTCTCATATCTATTTACCAATTTATTATAGTTAAAAAAAATGTTTATGTTTAAATATCGTGAGATCTTGTTCTTTTATTGAGCTGGAAATGAAAGAGTCCAACCCAAGGTCTCCACCCGGTCGCTGGTAGAAAAAAACCTAACCCTTTCTGGTTCAGCAGTTCCTCTGTGTAAAGAAGCAGGGCTAACATTCCTTCCAAAGCACCGGATTATGGGGGGGATTATCAGGGGTGTAAGAAATTCTCCGCTGTGTGTGTGAGTGAGAGTGTGAGCTTCATCGTCAGCATCTTCATTAGGCATTGATTTCACCCGAGTGATTGACGGCTTCGCAGCTGCTGCTTTGCTGCCATCTCCCATCACACACAGGAACACGCTCAGTGCTAACTCAGAGTCTCTCTTTCCATCAGATTCTCCAGACTCTGGGCCTTCATCCAGTGATACTGGGGGAACGACGTACTCGGCCCCTGTGGGGCTTTCAGGTAAATATTCCCACCAATACATCTCCCCTTTATATCACCCATTTTTCCTGCTCTCTCCCCTCATCATCACCCTCCCCTGTTTTTCTTTTCCCTCTGCTTCGCATTCCTCCCGACACACACATCATCTCCCCTCCATACTTGCAATGATGAGGCGGTGATTGTGGGGGCCCCAGCTTCCCCTCTGCAATAAAACAGCCAGTGAAGGAGGGAGGTGCAGCTCTCCCACAGCCACATAAATTCTTCCCTTCTGGCTCTTTGAACAACGCTCCTCTCTTCTCCCTTCTTCTCTCCTATTGCTCTCTGTGTGATGTTGTAATACAAGACAAACAACAGCAGGCTATTGTTTGTAACGGAGTATGTTCAGTCCATGTTGTGTACTTTAAGAGAGGAAACAAGCAGGACTAGTCTTACATTTGAGTGTTTCTTTTTGCTGAGTTTCAACATACATTGGATGTCTTTGTAGACGGACACACGCTCGCTTCACTCTCTCCCAACTTTGATGCCGAACGTGTTTCGGGCTCCGTGAGAGTCCCCCCTATAATCCCCCCTTGGCAGCGTCGCCTTCCTTACCCACAGGCTGCAGAATAAGATGATGCTCATGAGAGAGGGTTCGCTCTCCAGTGCTGTTCTCTGCTTTCATTTGCCGCATATGGTTCTCATTATAGAGCCTTTAAAGCCTGTTTTATGTCAGTTGGTGTTCGCTGCCAGTTTTTTTTTTTCTCCCTCCTTTGTTTGGTGGTAGGGGGTGGAAGGTTTAGCCTTTTCGCCTGAACGTGCGTGTGTTTGCGTGTGTGTCAGAGCTGAAGATCCAAAAATCACACCCCACATCCTCCTCCAGAGTATCAGGACGGACACTAAATTCCTCCCTTTGTGGGTTAACTAAAGACGCATTTCATACATGGTTCAAACTATGAAATTCAAGAAGTGGAGACTTAACAGGCGTCCTCCCTTCATTTTCCCCTCCTTCGGCCACCCCTCCTCCCCTGTTTTCCTTCCTGGCGATGAGGACATGGCCATGGCAGCCAGCGTCATTGGTGAATGGGCCTCCTCAGTTAGACAGGGACAAGTTGAAAGGCTGAGGCGTGATGGCCAAAGTGCTCTGCCCTCATGATTTTCCCCACAAGCCAAATGAAGGGGGTAAAAAAAGGCTAATCCATTCCTTCTCTGCTCCTTTTTCTTTTCTTTTTTTCACCCTCCCCGTTTTCCCGGGCTTGGCTCCCTCCCTTTGGGGCCCTGACAAAAGAAACATGGCTCCCCCAGAGGCCCTGCTGCTGACCTTCTAATTCACTCACTTTGCCCTTTTTATGTTCTTCTTCAGACAAATTCACAAAAACGAAAGAGTGGCTCAAATGAGACTGGAGGGCAGCAAGAGTTCTGCTTCTTTTTGCATTATTTTAGAATAATTAACTTGATTTCTTTGGGAACAATCTCAAGTAGATTGGGGGCGGTGGGTCGGAGGAAGGAAGAGCTGAAACAGAGGGAGTACTTCTTCCCTGTTTCTACATTCAGGAGAAAGCCTAGATTGCCCAGGCTGGAAGGAGTTAAGTGAACTGTGACAGCGACAAGCGCAAATGCAAACTAGGCTGCCTGCCAGACTAGCGGCTCCAAAGCTCCCCTCACTGGCCCACGTCATCGGCTTGGAACAGAACAGAGGGGAAGGGAAGAGGAGAGGAGAGGACGGCTGGAGCTGGGCGCCAGGGGCACCGATCTTGGCGAAGACCTAGATCATGGGTTTATAGGTTCACCCAGGCACTGAGCAGGGAGATCAGATTAGGGATTGAGAAATGGAGATCAGGTCAGGGTTAAGAGGGTGCTGGACTGTTGGTTATGAATCTCTGGAGTGTTAAGTAACTCTTAGTTATTAGCAGCTTAAGAGGCGTTCTTGTTGCCTGTCGAGCTTTAATATGTCTTTTTATTGAAACCACACCTCCGTTCAATATGTTGCAGAATCTTGTATTACCCAGGCCTTCTATTTTTCACAAAGTTGTTCTTTATTTCTACTCATTTCATTGCAATACATGAAGAGAAATAATACACAATATTTAGATCATGAAACAGAGAATTGAACAGTAGGTTTTCTAAGATTCACAAGAGAAATTTTAGGTTTTCCAAACAGAAAATTGCCAGAAAGAAAACTGATCAATCAAAACCTGCAGCATATTCCCGTCCAGGACAGTGGTGAAGCTTAATGCTTACAAAAAGCTCATTTTAGTCACTCTTTGACTGTTTCTTTTCTCTTCTATCTACTATGCCACTCAGACAGCTTAAATCTACTAAAGTTTTCTTTAGCTCTTTGCTAACAGAATTTACTGTTTCTGACAAATATAAATTGGGATTCATTTAAACAAAGTAGGTTCTAATGACAAACAAATAAAACCAAATTAAAAGCTGAGGATCATTTTATTACACATATATTTGCAACTTATAAGTAAATGTGATACATCAGAGCTATTCTCCAATAATGAGACCAAAACTCTCCCCAGTTTATAGTCAATGGGCTCCAATAGATGGTTTTGCCAGTCTTGTGCTCTGGCCTCAAAAATGCGTATTACATAGTCAAAGTTTAGAAGTCATCCCATTATGAAGCATATTGCACATAGTGGTTGTACTCTCAGTACCTATCCAGTCAACAGTGTGCTGTGTGAATATAAGTAAGGAATTATATATTTAATTGACTGTACTTAATCAAAAACGTGTCTTTTAATTCTCTGCAATGGCCCAATCTTTAATATTTTGAATTATGCAAGCATTCCTGTTTAGAATGACAACATGAAAGCACTCCCCTGCATATATGGAGCTCATGATGACATGACCTATACAAAGTCATTTAGCCCTTTTTAAGTTAGATTTCACTTTGACGAGAAATACTATAGCATTTTGATCTCAGAAGATCTCATACCTAAGTTCTTGCCCCTACTACATGAACTCAAATCTGCCCAGATCAAAGGCAAAGTAATACTGATGTCCATTGCCATCTTTAGTGCGTATTTTATTTTATAGTTACAGTTGAGTAATAAACCGAGGTGTACACTATAAGTCTACCTTAAAGTAGACTTGTGTTTGTGCCAGACATTTGAAAGTGCAGCATCTGAGTACCGTTGGCATGCCTGTTGGTGCCGTTGGGGGCTGACCCAGAGTGCCTGCGTGTAACCGGATCCAGTCCCACTGTGCTGGCATGTACACACACACACGCACACACTCAGATAGGAGAGGAGATAGAATGACCTGGTGCGAGCCCTGGCGGATGGCCGATTGTCACACAGGCGCTTCCTCCCACTGCGGGTTAAATTTAGGCCAAGTTGTATTCTTACACTGCCAGCCTACCTCGACAGACAGTGTCCTGGCCCCTCAGCCAGTCAATTAGTCATCCAGTGAACTGGCTAGAAGTGTGACCTTCATCAGTGGCTCTGATAGAGACTAAAGTTAGCCCTGATGAGTGAATAAACAGTATGCTTCATTTAAGATTTCTTAAGATACTTGAGGCTTTTTAAACTTAGGAAAATTAAGAGAGAAAGCTTGAAACAGAGCACCCTCAGTGTGCCTCTTCTCCCTCAGCATTCCTGCCTTGTTTGGGTTAGCAGGGAGAGGAAAGGGCCGCGCAGGATATGACCTCATGTCTTTGAGGAAAAGCCGAGCGGACAGGGAGGCAGCCGAGGCCTCGTCTTGATGGAAAACAAACACGGGGGGTACACCAACCAGAAAGAAGGAAGGCAGGTCGTCAAAAAGAGAGGAACTGAAAAGAGAAATGTAGTCGCTGCTTGTAGTCGCCCTTTTTAAAGCAAATTAGGGCCATCTTCACCAGAATGTATGCCTTATTTTCCTTTTCTTGTTGCTTTTCCTGCATGAATGTTAGAAGACAGAGAAGATGGCGGCTTTGGGTGGAGGGAGAGATGGCCGGCAGCTCTGCTCAGTTCTCTGTAATTTGGAAGCTGTGTGTTATAGCCAGCAAGCTGAGCCAAGCGGAGCCGGGCCGCTCTGTGCTGGACCAGGATCTCTCATTACTCCCCACTTCCTCTCCTTGCGAGGCAGCCAAGCCAACCTCTTGGCAAGGGACTTAATTTTGGTTTTTGGCCGCCCTCTTTTCCCCACCCTGTGTCATTATGCAGCACAAATCGGAAAAACATGCATGCAGAAAGCGGCGGATGATGGAGGGGGATCGAGGAGAGTTTTGCTTTGCTTTGAGTGCATTTTTGGTTTTCCCTTTGCTTCAGATGCTTTGGGGCAATGCTGTTGCAGTTAAAAAAACGTTACCTTTACTGCGGTTGACAGGAAGGCTTTGCAGTTCTGGTTCTGAGCCAAGGTTGGACGGAGGCCCAGGACAAGACGAACATTGTTTTGGTTCACATTGGCTCTGTGGGAGTGGGTTTCGACATTAGCTTAAGTATGGAGATATATCTTAGGGTGGGAACGTGTGAGGGGGCAAGGGGAAAAGAGGACTTAAAACACTCCTATGGAGGATTAAAAAAATGGAAATAAGTGGAGACATATGCGCATAAAACCTGTGGGTGTCTCCACCTTCCTGCCTACTCATTCATGGAGTCACTTTGTCTTTTGTGTACTCTAAAGTGCCCTTGTGTGTCAGTAACCACATCTCTATCAGCACTGGAACAACGACACACAGTAAGAAGCTTACAGGGGTATATAAATACTAATAAAATGCAACCACCTCTCAGACCACATCCAACTGAAACTGCAGGTTGTTGTTTTTGGTGTCGGATTTAGTTCCCACGGTCTTATAGTCGCAACAGTGTGAGCGATTGTTCAGCTTGTCTGTCCATCTATCTGTATCTATATTTGTATATACACTATATTGCCAAAAGTATTTGCTCACCCATCCAAATTATTGGAATCAGGTGTTCCAATCACTTCCATGGCCACAGGTGTATAAATTCAAGCACCTAGGCATGCAGACTGTTTTTACAAACATTTGTGAAAGAATGGGTCGCTCTCAGGAGCTCAGTGAATTCCAGCGTGGAACTGTGATAGGATGCCACCTGTGC